ATTATATATGCATAGTGGCTGGTAGGTCTTTTAATATAGATGGATGGTAACTGGTAGGTCCTGTACAGCTAGTATATATATATATATATAATATTGAGAATGTTATAATTTTTAAATATTAACAGTTTAATTTCACAGAGAGATAAAAAAATGTATTTAAGTACTACGCAATTATTTTAGAGAACGACTAGTGTCTAACATATTTTAGTTTCTAAGACGTATTAGAACTTAGACACAAAATGGTAGTATATAATATCTTACAACATTTTTAATTCTGTGAGTACTTTATGAGCAAGGCAACGCCATGAACTCCGCAAGATAAAGCGTTACCCTGCTGCAACTCATTGTTAAATGTTTATAGTATAGAACTAGAAGACAGGTAAAGAGATGTATTTGTAGTTGTCGCGTATGTATTAAATATATTTTAAGCTTTTTTATGTTTAAAAATTTACATCTAAATAAAACCAATATTGAAAAGAATATTTTTATAAATGATTACATAATACGTACTACTGGCTGTTTTGCATAGCTAAGGCTTAACTTTGATATCTCAAACGTTTTACTTTTACTGTTTTAGCAAGTATGTAATGTGGCGACATCAGACGGCAATTTTGATAGCGTGGATCAATTCGACCCAATAATTAATATATTATTTATAAACTAATAAATGTGTTTACTCACTATTTAGTAGGCTTGAGGAAATAACCCATGTATAAATCCAAATAACTCATACTTTGTAATGGTAATAAATATTCATAAGCAAGAATGTATTTGTGAAACCGAAATGTCTTCTGCCACAGGCAAAGCTACATTTAGTATTGTTATGAAAAAAAAGTAGTGTCTTGGGCTTAACAAAAACAGCACAAACCTTATCATGTAAAACTTGGTAAAAAAGACCAAAGCAAAAACTTGTGTTCAAAATTCTTTAAGTGAGAGAATATTTCAGCATAAGATTCATTTGAACAATTAATTCATTGATAGTGACAAGTACTTTAAGCTGCAGCCAAGAGAACACAGAATTCTGAAATCTGTATTTAGAAATTTCCATTTTGAAATTATTTTGTTATTTCCTTTTATAAAATATAAGAATATAATGAAACCATATTTTTTGGAAGACTGTTACTAAAAGTAAAGCATGAAAGGCTATACACCTACTCCAATATTTTACTTTTAGCATTGGATATGGATCAGTATCTGACCTGAAATTTGCCATTCAACAATTTTACTGGCAATAAGTTTGTATGATGATATATTACAGTGTTGGCAAATTAATGTGTATAATAATAATATGAAATTCAATAATTATTACACCTAGAGTAATGGCAAGACAATTACAAAAATTATTTCACTATTCCTTACTTTGAGTTATAAGTTATCTCTTCTTTTCTGTCTCTCTTTGTACTGCATATAGTACAGTTGCCCATTGTATTCAATTCAAATATCTTGTATATAACACAATGCACAGAAAAGGATTACAGGGATTTATAGTATTTTAGTTTGGACAAGGCTAAACAATTGTTTGAAAGTTTTAATCACCATCCCTCAATTTATCTGTATAAAAATTAGGCATTTTATGATTGTCATTTGATCAGATATGTTTACACTTGTAATTGAATATTTTATAGAAGAGGCTATGCAAAAGCCAATGTTCTAATCCTACTTTTGCCTGTAAAATGAAATATCTTTTGCCACAGGCAAAGCTATATTAAATATGGTTATGAAAAAAAAGTATCTTGAGCTAAACAACACAAGTCTGAAATAAAACTTGGTAAAAACTAAAAGCAAAGCATGAAAGACTACACCTACTCCAAGATTTTACTTTTAACATTGAATATAGATCTATATCTCACTTAAAATCTATTGTTCGTCAGTTTTACTGACCACAAGTTTGTGTGATACCCTATTACAGTGTTGGCAAATTATATATATAGTAATAGTATGTAATAATTCAATACCTATTACACCTGGAGTTATGGCAAAACAGTTACTCCACCACTTCTCAGAAAGAGCTGCTTTCAAGTTATCTTTATTGGCTGGAATCACTTTATGAGATATAGTGCAAGACAATTCTATGAGTGTTTGATGCAATTGAAGTCTGGCATTTATGCAATGTGCCAGTTTTGCATGGCACCAATAATTTGTAACTTATTGTCCTTCAAGTTACAAAAATGTGAAAATTTTAAATGCAAAAAAAAAAAACATAGAAAGGAATGTTAGCAAAAGTATTTGTATAATTTAAAAACAAATCTGTGTATATAAATATATCTTTGACATATTTATGGATGCATTAATAAAAGCATTAGTAAAACCTATATGGTATAGAAGATATGTAGACAACACCCTTATGGGTGAAATCCTTACAAAGTTTTTAAACTACATGAATGATAATAATGAAGGAACTAAACTTAAGAAAATGATGACAGTAAGTTAAAATTCAGTGTATTTTAAAAACCTTTTGCTGGTAGTATGCCATCACATTATAACTCCAACCACCCTTTAAGTCAGAAACTAAACACATTTGACATATGTGCTTGGTATACTATTAATATATGTTCTGATATCATAGGTATAAACAACAACAAAAAAAGAATTAAAAGCAGTAGCAGTGGATAGAGATTATGACTACAATTATTAACATAGCTTTTCATAAAATTAATGACTGACATCTACAAGAGATGCTCTAAATTAACTTCAGTAACATAATCTCAAAATAAGTTCATTAGTTTACCATTTTTCCCTGCCATTTCATAAAACGTTGCAAAAGCATTTTCATTAAAGGAGTATTAAATAGTTTTTGTTCTTCAAAATAATAGTATAAAATTTTTAACCATTTACAGACAGTTCAAGATAAAGAAAAGATTGATGGCAAAGATGAAATTTGTCAAATCATTTGTAGTTATGGTAAAACTTACACCAGTATGACACTAACACCCTATCCTCAACTATAGCCAAACATTTCTAGCACTTTGATGGTAAATATTAGTGGGAAAATGTGGTAATCTTAAACACAAAAAATTAAAAACAAATCTGTGCATATAAATAGAGATGATGGAACAATCAGCATGTCATATTGAAAAAACATTGTCTTAAGTATCCCCTTATTTACTGTTTACATAATCCTGTTTTTCAAAGTGAATCTACCTTTCAATGGTTGGAGTTTAAGATAGGCTAAGCTAACAAACACTGTATTCACAAGTCCTGTTGATAATAACTTTGTTACCGAAACTAATTGGCTTGAACAACTAGTAAAGACTTATCTTTCATTGTGCAAAAAAAAATTTCATTTTCAAAATGGGTATGAAAAAGAAATTGTAAGAAGTATGATCACTACAAACAGCAAAGGTATTCATAAGGTCCTAAGATAATCTCAACCACATCTCTGAATGAGCTGTTTTAAAGGTATCTTTTTTTTGTCTGGAATCAGTTGATGAGATATAGTGCATCTCCAAAGAACATTCCATATGTGTTGAATGGGATTAAAGTCTGGCATTTTTGCAGTCTTCTACACTCAATCAGTTGTCTCATCTTCAAGGAATGTGTTAACCAGTTTTGTATGACAAGGGTGGAAATTATTATCTATTAATGGAAATCCAGGCCAGTTGCATTAGTACATTGTATGGGTTATAGAATATGATCATGTAATGTGCAGCATTAATAGTACCATTCTGTAATATGTAGTGATTCAGTTCAAAGTTATAATTCAGACAAAATATTATGAGAACCATGAATTATTTTCATTTCAGGTCACATGGCTGATTATTATATCACTGATTTGCATATCAGTAAACTGAAGGAGCAGTTGACATTCTTTTATGACTTGTCATAGTTATAAAATTACAAAGCCCTATGATCTATTAATTGTTTTCTAAAGTGTAGATTTAAATTCATTGAAACAGCATAAGCTAAACTAATAGGAATATAGTTTCCGAGGTTCTCCCTGAATTCATTTTTTTAAAGAAGGAAATTATCAAAAACCTCTAATTGTTTGATATTTTCTAGATTTCAGTTGAATTTTAAAAAATAAGTCTCACCAATTATTTTTTGCTAAACATCTTCAAGGTTTTAGGATATATCTCACTAGGGCTAGATGCTTTACATTATAGAAGTTTAAAAAGTTTTCATAAAATAGCTTTTTGTTCTTCTTCAACATAAATAGATTCTAAGGAAAAAATTCCATGTTAAAAATACTGTTTAAGTAACTCCCTATCATTTTCATTAGTAAGAACACCAGAAAAAATGTTAGCAATTTAGATGCATTCCCTTCCTCATTGATAAGGTTTCCTTTAAAACTGCATAAAAGATTTATAGTATCTTTTGCTTTTTCTGCATGGCAACCTTTCAAGTGAATTTGTCATTTAGAGATTTTCTAATTATTCTTATTTTTAACAATAGCTTTCTTGACTTTTTTTTTTTTACAAACCTTAACATTCTAGTAATAAATTTATTATTCTTATAACTTAGCATTTTTAATATATTCGTAACATGCCATTTAAGTAAATTATAATATATTCATAATAGTTATTCTCTTTGCCTATATAGGAACAATATTTTGGTTAGAATATAAGATTGTGAAAGGGATATATATTCAGTTTTTGGTAACTTGATCAAGTTAGTAAAAGAAATCCTAAGCTTCATTAACATTTTTCACATTTTGTTGAGTTGTCCAATCATCTTATTGGAGTATCTGAAAAACAGGTTTTGTAGACTCTTTTGACAGGTTATTAAATCTATAACAGTAATAAAGTACTCTCACACATCCACATTTCCAACATAATCTAAAAAGTACTATGAGCAAGATCTATAAAGCATCCTTTATTCTAGGACCTTTTATATACAGAAAAAAATGGTTCCTCATGACCAAAGAACTAAAATGAAAGGAAAGTCATTAAAAAAACACAAAAAAGAATAATAAAAATATATCCAACTCATCATTATCCAAAAATAAAAAACATTTCACTTATAATAATTTACACTGAAGCTCAATATTAATGGTGAGCTAAAACTTATGTTTAGCTTGACTTGAAACTTAATCCTAATCTAAATCAATCTTAAATAAAAAATATTAATAATAGTGTAGAAAATCTGAAGAAAATTGATATATATTTTCCATGTGCTTATTAAAACTACTTTTATATTTCTATATTTTCATGTAGAACTATTTAATTAATAATTTTAATTTCTGTTTTAATAAGAAAAATAATTTCAGTATATTTGTCTACTTGTTATAAATTTTATAATTTTTTTGCTCCTAGTGTTTTGTATCATTGCAGATAATTTCCTTAAGTTTATTTGCAAGAATCTTTTAATTGTATGTACACATCTGTGTGTGTGTGTACAATGTTGTTTTTGTCTTATTTCACAAAGATATCATGGCAAAACAAAGGAGATCTCATCAGGAAAACTCTTCATCTCAATCTGGGCTTAGCAAATCACAAACTATCAACAAATTACAACGTAAGAAACAGACTGATAAGAAATTGTGGATTAACAAATTCCCTTACATCTTATTCTTTAGTATCCTTGTGGCACTGTGTGCTGTGGGATTTATATATTATCAACGTTACATTGAAAACCGTGTCAGGATGCCACTAACTGCTCCAAAGGTTATTACCAAAAATGGCCTTGAAATTCCTGAAAGATACTGGGGAAGCTATAGACCTGGTGTCTACTTTGGACTAAAGACACGTAGTCCACATTCATTAGTCACTGGACTCATGTGGTTCTCCCAAAACATAAAAGATAACCTTAAGCTTCGACATTGGTGCAATCAGTGGGATGGGTTGAAGAAATATGGATGGCTTCAGCATGATGGCCTCAATTTTGGTGAGCAGGATATTGTAGAGGATGAATACATAATAACTACAACTTTTGTGAAGCGTTCAGTAGGTGAATTTGGAGGTGACTGGACAGCAAGAATTACAGTAAAACCACAAGTAAGTGTTACTAAAAACAAAAATTGTAAAGAGGCTTTTCATGGAATGCTTATAGCCCTAATAAGAGCAAAGAGAATCATTGAAGAGGCAGTAGCATCATTTTAGAAATGAATGATCTAGTTAAATTTTCTTCAAAATAGATGGTGTATATTTTAATGTAACTTCCTGTCTAATACATATTACATGAAAAGGGAAATACATGTCATAAGTTTTTCAATTCCTTACATGCTAGAACTGTTATTCCATTTAATGTGATTCTGCACTTACCTTTACTAAAAATTAACATTAAAACCAGTTAAACTACTGTAGTGTAAGATTTATGTTACTGTTAATTTTTATATAACTGAAGAATTTTTTGACTAGTTAGTGTGATTAAAGGATTTGTACAGCTTGTAATACTTTTTCATAACCCAGTTATTTTTGTATTTCAGCCCTCTAACAGTACAGTTCAGTTTCCTATTTCCCTTCTTTTCTATACGGCCTTGGATGGTGAGGGTGTCATAATACCATCACTGCTTTCTGGTAACCAGCTATCAGCAATACAAGGAGAAACCTCTGACCTTGGAAAGTTTAAGATCAGCTTTGAGTCTACATCATCGTTAACCAAGTACCATTTTTTAACAGCAACAGCTCCTCCAGGGCTTCATGAACTGAAGGAAACAGTAATGCAACATTTTGCATTGTTCAAATCTGACAAAAAGAGTGAACCCCCTACCATAGGCCTCATTGGACATTCTCAGAAACAGACAGGAATGGGAGCAGAAACAAAAATAAATTTCATTGTGCACCAAATTACAGCATTACCACCTTATGAATTAGAGGTACTGTTTCAATCGGCCAGCATGCCTAACCAATTTAATAGCCTAAAAGGCAACATATACACTACAGAACATAAAAAACATAAAGATAATTTTGAAGCAAAATTTGAAAGAGTATTTCAGTTGAGTGCTAAAAAATTTCTAAAAGAAGAAATTCAAATTGCCCAAGCTGTTATGAGTAATATGATTGGTAGCCTTGGCTACTTCTATGGTGCATCAATGGTGCAGTCACAACACAATAAAGAACCAATACAGTATTGGGAGGCACCCCTATTTACTGCTGTACCATCCAGGTCTTTCTTTCCACGTGGATTTCTTTGGGATGAAGGCTTTCACAATTTGTTGATAAGCAGATGGGATGCTAAGATTTCTAAGGAAATTTTAGGACATTGGTTAGACCTTATGAATGTTGAAGGCTGGATTCCACGTGAGCAGATCCTAGGTCTTGAGGCCCAGTCCAGGGTGCCAGCTGAATTCATTGTCCAAAAGAATACAAATGGAAACCCTCCAACTCTGTTGTTGGCTTTAGAATCCATTGTTCGAAGAATGGAACTTGGTGAAGTAGAGGAGGACCTAGAATTCTTGAGAAGAGTCTATCCTCGTTTGCAAGCTTATTTTGATTGGTTCAACATTACTCAAGAAGGCAAACTTCCAGGTAGCTACAGGTGGCGTGGAAGAGATGCTTTGACAGAAAAAGAGCTTAATCCCAAAACATTAACATCAGGATTAGATGATTATCCTAGAGCTTCTCATCCATCTCATGATGAAAGACACATTGATCTTCGATGTTGGATGGCACTAGCAGCTAAAGTCTTGGCATTTCTTGGAGAAAAACTAGGAAAGCCATGGCATGCTTTTGCAGCTACTCATAAATACCTTACTGATAATGAGCTGTTAGACACTCTTCATTGGTCTCCATTATCTCAGACTTACAGTGATTTTGGACTACACACAGACAAAGTGAAATTGGTAAAGCCAAAGATTCCTCCTCCAGCTCCTGGACAATCTACACCAAAAGTAGATAAAGTTCGAGCTGTTCTAGAAGAACCTACTCTCAGATTTATTGACCACTTTGGCTATGTTAGTTTATTCCCTTTCTTTCTGCAAATCATCAGACCAGAAAACCCTAAATTGGGCAAAATCCTAACTGACTTAAGAGATCCTAATTTACTTTGGACTAACTATGGTTTAAGGTCATTAGCAAAGTCTTCATTATTTTATATGAAATACAACACAGAACATGATCCTCCATATTGGAGGGGTTCCATATGGATCAACATGAACTATTTAGCAGTCAGAGCCTTGAATTATTATAGTAAACTTCCTGGCCCTTACCAAGATCAAGCCCAAGAACTCTATGGTGAACTTAGAAAAAATTTAATCAACAACATCCTGAAAGAATTTCGTAGGACAGGATACCTATGGGAAAACTACAATGACAAAACAGGTCATGGTCAAGGATGTCATCCATTCACTGGCTGGTCAGCCTTGGTGGTGCTGCTAATGGCAGAACTGTATTAAATTTCTTAAAGTAAAATAAGAAAGTATATAGCTAATAATACTCCTGCTGACCTGTAAAATATACATGGGTTAAAAAAAAAATTCTTTGAAAATTTATATTCACTACATTGTTTCTTCTTGAACTTTTTTTTTTTTTACTAAACATACATGTATTCTCTGAAATGAAAGTACCTCAAAATTCTGAGAAGTTCATAAGAAATACCTAGCTTATAAGTTTAATTCTATATTTTCATCATGCTTGTGTATATTGCATATTCAACCATATGGGTCACTTCAGAAAATTGTATTTTGTAATGGGCTAAAATATTTTATATTGAAACTATCTGCACTATTATTTATGTACCATAACTAGAATTTAACTTCTAACATTTACAGTACAACAGTATGAAAGACATTTAGGGCATTTTTTCTTTCAACTTAAGGTACTTGTAACATTATGACTTATTTTCTGTAAATATGTATACACTTTCACACAAAATATGGTAACACTAGTGGTAAGTGGCAACTTACAAACTGCAATTCCAGTAATAAGTTACTGTGTTATAGCATGGTTTGGTAATATCTGAAATGATTATCTTGAACATGTTTGGAATCAACTTTCAAATTATGAATAACAAAAAAAAGTGAAAATGTGCAGTATAAACATATGCAGTGGAAACTAAAGTTTAGCTGTTCGGTTTCTTCATAACTTCCATGAAAATAAAATCAAATCATTTTATATCATATTACCAGTTGTTTGATTATCGTTTTGTCAATGTCTTTGTATCAGAAACACAACCATAGAATGCTTAGTTTTGGAATGACTCAAGGTACAAAAATCCTAGAAATTAATATCCACTGTTATTTTAATTTGCTTGTTTATTGTGTTGTCTTTCGTAATTCTTATTAGACATAATTTTTTACTAGTTAAATGTTATGTAATGAATTATATTTTAGAACTCCTGTGAACAATTTAAGTATTTTAAATTAACTTGGGAAAAATTTTTCACATAAATTATTCAAATAACAAAAGCATTGCCACTCTTTATATTTGTCAAGCTCCCATCCCCATCAGTGGCTCAGAAGGCTTACAGTACAAAAAACTAGGTTTTTATATCCATGATGGACACAGCACTGATAACCCATTGTGTAGCTTTGCAATTAGCAAAACAAAATTTTATTGTATGAACATGCTCTACAATAATGTAACACAATGTGTTCAGTACAATTGTGATTATGAAGGTACGAGAGCAGGACTTGGTTTTACAGCACATTAAAATGTCTATTAGCATAATGAAAAAGTAGTTTCTTTGAAAACAAAAATTTTATATGTGGTTGTCCACTGTTTTCATCTTACTTGACGTACCTCTGTACTGATGATGCAACTAAAAAACAGAATAGCAAATAACACTACTGACTGTAGTTTATGAAGGACTGCAAGATATTAGATAGAGTGTCAGAAATTAACAAATAGTTTAGTCTTAAGGAGCATCTGCCTATAGAAAGAAAAATGATTTGATTGGAAGGCGAGTTAGTTTGGCATAAGTTCAGGACAAATACTTTTTCATATAATCAGATACTAAGTAATTAATAAAAGTTAAACCTATTTGACAATATGAATATAATAGTTCACTCTCAGCAGAATCTGGATCGATCAGACACATGAATGTAATGAAATCTGATAGGTAATATTTAACTCTATATTTCAATTTTAGGATACATTCAAAGGTTTCTGACTTTAAATTCAAGCTATAAGTTGGTCTGGTTGACATGTACTGAATCCAGTTTCAACTTTCATTAATATTTATTTCTCAAGAGATTAAACAAATCAAGTCAGATTATTGTAACTTGTGTTTATAGCATCCCATATTATCACATCAGAGGAAAGAGTTCTTTTGCCTGTGTGCAAGGGCCATAGAAAACCAGCTTCAAGCAATTAAACATAATAAAATTCCACTGACAGCTATGAGAGGTGCAGAAAATGATATAACTGTAAGGCCCATGCTTATTGGTGATAACATAATAAATGATTAAGATATTTCTTCTTGTTATTGTTGTTTTTTTTTACTTTCAAAATATATGGAAGTGACTTTTAAAGGTAGGAATTTGGTAGAAGGAAGTAACGGCAGTATAGAAGCACCATGTGCAACTTGGCTGATGAAAGCTTGACTAAAAAATGTTAAGGTAAGTTGCAACTATTGGAAATTGTTTACTGTAAACTAACAAAGATTACGAAAATGTTATTAAAGATTAGAAGCGGAACTCGGAGTTAAAATGTTCCAGCACTGAGAATTGTGAAAGCTTTATTACCCAACAGGTAATTGTTCAGCTTCACCCAAGTAAATTGTGTAATGGGATAATCCACTATTTATGTTTATTAAGACACTTCTTACCTTTTACATATTCAAAGTACGTTTTAGAAAGGTTCTGATGTAGAATAGATACAACTATTTCAAAAACCCTCAGTATTTTATTGCAGTTATGACTAAACAATTTAGACTTGTTAGCAAATTTAAGGTGTGGTAAAGTTTTCCTTAAATTGATTTATTTTTTCCAAATAATTTTATCCAGTCATGGAAATTAACAGTGAAAAATAAATATTCCAGTAAATAAGATAAAATTATATATATATTTTTATATAAAAACAACATTCAGTACAGTTAGTCAAGTTTTAAGAACTATGGTTTTAAATTATGCAAAATGAATCCTTTAGTGAAGAAGTTTTATATTTTGTCTGTAATAATAGCCATTACAGTGAAAAATTTATTTACTTTAAAGTATTTTAAGATATCATACATGTTCAGAATAGAACTAGATGTTAATAATATCCACCTCAAGGAGTAAAACAGATACTTGTGTAAATTGGTATGAGTTGGTTTTTTCTCCCTTGTATTTGTTATTTGGAGTGGTTGGGATTATAGGATACTGCACTTGGACCTATAGTCTGATTGGAAAGTTTGGTATATGATAACTCTGCGTGTCTGTATCTACATTTGAATTTGAAGCCTTACCAACTGTGTGATATGATCTCAGGATCTAAACCAAATTGGCATTCTCTGCAACTGAGTACAAATGTCTAGTCATTTTGTATTTCAGTGGTTATCCTATTGCTTTGATTAAGAACCTGAAGGTTAAGCTGAAGTAATTTCTGATTTTACCATTTGGGGTCATAATCATTTGTTGCACTTAAAATAGATGGCCCAACTTTTTGACACACTGCTGAATAATTACAGTTAATTGTTTGTTTTAGTGCAAAGCTGTAAAGTGAGATGTCTGCCCTTTGTCTATCAAGGGGAACAAATCATGGAGTTTAGCATTATAAGTCCTTTAATTGACTGTTTACTCACCTGGGGACGATTATCATTATACCCAGATTATAAAAACGTATTGAAAATCTTCCAAATGATATTCTGTCAAGAAACTATATAAAAATATATATGAGTAGCATTTTATTGTATATTTATGAATTGACCCTGTATTTTGTCTTTCCAACTTTGAAAAATGAAAGTTGTTTAAATATGTTTTTTATTTTACCATAAATATCTTAATGAACTATAAGTTCAAATTATGGATCTTATTATTTATTTCACTACTCCATATATTCTGTAGATTCTACAGGTCATATGTGATTGCATAGTTATACATAACTATGGGATCTACATATCCTCATTTTTATTGTTAATACAGGTGTTGTTTGGAAACCTGTGTGTTGAATAACTTTTAATTTGGTTATATTGAGTCAGTCATATGTACAAACTTGGGAATATATTCATATTAATCATATTCTTGCATTAAAAACTCGGAACACTATAGAAATTTTCTTACAGAAATTTCATCATTTTTGCAATAAGGTATGAACAATATAATGAATGCATGTGTATTGATAGAGTATTTTGTATTTATATTATGATGTTTCCTTTGTTTTCTAGTTATGTTTACACAGATAGTCATCATTACTTTTTTTTTTCCACAGCTTGTAGAATATGCTATTTTAATTTTATTTTTTTTTAATAGTCTCGAGCATACAGGGCAGATCTCGTACTCCTCTCCATGTGTGAATTCACACTCTTCATGTCATCATGTGATAGTGCATGCCATTTATCAGTGGCCATTCCTTCACTATTCATAATCATTGTTAGCTGTACAGTGAAGAAGCTGCAGCCTGTTAGGTCTGGGTTCACGGATTGTGATTAGACTAAAAACGCACAAGACAGTGATATTTTTACTGCCACAAGTCAGTACTTTTTAACAACAGACTATTGCACATTACAAAGCATCTTTCATCCTTCTATTAATTGATTTAGTGACTTTCTATTTTCAAGTTGCCAAGCTGCACCTATAATTCTAGTGAAAATAGTGTACATTTTGGACACAAAAAAATAAGCTAGTGATCAGAATTATACCTTCTATTTTACAGGTGTGAAATGTATTTTTAAAAAAACAGCAGAATGCTATAATACACAAAATACATAGGTCCAATGTGATAAAAATATTAATAGAGTTATTGAAGGATTATAATTTGATAGAAAATTTTACAAAAGATGTGAAGGAGCTAAGCATGAACTAATAAAACTTGTGAAACAATTTACAGCAATTTCTCTGTTTTTCAGCACAAATTTACATAATGCACTATTTTAGCATATAATCCCTTAGATTTACTGCTGAGCCAACGAGAGGGGGGGGGGGCACTGTGGAAACTAAAGGATACAAAAGAAAAGCAAGTTGTACAATGCAGTAATAATTTGTATTTGCTTTATGTATAGCAGTTTATTATGTTTTTATGCTATCATAAGTTTACAGATCTATGATTCTGAAATATAGTTCCATATTTCTTGTATTACTCCAAACAATTTAGCCAAGTTATTTGATTGCTATTTGATCTTCTCAATTTCCATATAAGCCCATACAGCTTTATTAATGTTGATAACTGGAATCTGTGCAGGCCAAGCCATGGTTACAAGTGTTTTATTGGCCTCTTTTTCTCCAAGCATCATTTCACCATAATTACTACAAGCTTGAGATAGCTGTCATGCTGGAAGTTGAAGCCCTGTACAACATGTCTTGTTCCTAAGGGATTGACATGATAGATAAAAATATGATTGTACCTGTCAGCAATCTGAATGTCATCAATTTTGTGTAGATCTCCATTACCATTAACTGAAATGCAGCCCATACTTGTATTGCAATTCCAGCATTCTTTGGGTATTTTATGTCTACCGTAATACAGTTCTTCTCTCCACCATCAAACAAATTATAGTTGATTGTTGCTAAATTTTGATTTGAGATCATTTGTAAATAGCACTTTTCTCCACCATAGCTCACCCAAGTATTTGATGACTTATCCCCATTTCAGCCTTTTGGTTTGGTTATTTCTCCTAAACAGTGATTTTTCAGCAGCTACACATACATTGAATCCACAATCACCAACAGGTTGTTCTATGACAGAGGATAATGGTATCATAATCATTTGCAACATTTATAATGAAATATGGGGGGTTATTACTACATGGTTGGGGTTGCATCTCAGCCAATGATGTCGTTTATCTACACAAATATGATAATACCCTCACTGCTAATAAATACAGACTCATTCTGATCCATCATGTCATTCCCTCAGGAACTCAACTCATTCAGCGGGTATCTACTTGCAAGACAGTGATTCTAGGCATATGTGGTACAACAATATTTTGACAGTCAAAACAGTGAGGGAACACTCACAACCATGACTTGGCCCATACAAAGCTCTGATATGAACATTTTTGAGGCTATATGGGATTAGGTAAAAGCTGAGAAGATTAAATGGTGACCAGCTAGCTTGGCTGAATTTCTGGGAGTATTACAGGAGATATTTGGAACAATATTCCACACTCATACATTGATAAAATATATGGCAGCATTAAAACAAGATTAAATAATCTGTGTAAAA